TCGGTAGTCTACCACGTCATTCTGTTTGTACAATGTACTATCGGTAGTCTACCACGTCATTCTGTTTGTACATGTACTTTCGGTAGTCTACCACGTCATTTTGTTTGTACAATATCTACTATCGGTAGTCTACCACATCATTTTGTTTGTACAATGTCTACTCTCGGTAGTCTACCACATCATTCTGTTTGTACAATGTCTACTATTGGTAGTCTACCACGTCATCCTGTTTGTACATGTACTCTCGGTAGTTTACCACGTCATTCTGTTTGTACAATGTACTATCGGTAGTCTACCACATCATTCTGTTTGTACAATGTCTACTCTCGGTAATCTACCACATCATTCTGTTTGTACAATGTCTACTATTGGTAGTCTACCACGTCATTCTGTTTGTACATGTACTCTCGGTAGTTTACCACGTCATTCTGTTTGTACAATGTCTACTATCGGTAGTCTACCACGTCAATCTGTTTGTACAATGTACTATCGGTAGTCTACCACATCGTTCTGTTTGTACAATGTCTACTCTCGGTAGTTTACCACGTCATTCTGTTTGTACAATGTCTACTCTCGGTAGTCTACCACGTCAATCTGTTTGTGCAATGTCTACTCTCGGTAGTCTACCACGTCATTCTGTTTGTACAATGTCTACTATCGGTGGTCTACCACGTCAATCTGTTTGTACAATGTACTATCGGTAGTCTACCACATCATTCTGTTTGTACAATGTCTACTCTCGGTAGTTTACCACGTCATTCTGTTTGTCGAAATGTCAAACTGGTACGGGCACACCAGGTTCTCGTGCATCTTGCAAACTTACCTGAGACCATCTTTTCTTGTGTCGTATTTTTTCCTTGTCTTTTAGATGAACAAAGAGTTTGTTCCCCCCGGGGAGCGTCCATACTAGTCTGCCACCATAGGGTGTGATAACCCGGTCCGGGGGTCCCAGACTGATACCCCGGCCATGGACAGTACTGCAACCCAAAATAAGGCGACCTAACATTCCAGGAACAGGTTCAGTGGTAATTATTAAATGTAAAGATATTATGATGATTCATTTATAGAGTGTATTCCATTGTTTCCCTTTTCAGATCATATGTAATTTACTTATAATGGATGTCGCTAATGGGACAATGAAAATGTAGTCGTTTTTCTAACAGGAAATTGGATAAATTAAAGAAGGAATGATGGGATAGTATACAATTGTGAGATGTAGTTAATTCAAACCTTCCAGCTTCATCAATGACCTCAATAAGCTGTTTAACAAAATCATTCGGAACTCTTTTGTTGTTCTTTGTTGTCATGGCATCGTCAAATGGCACGTGACCTGAATATAGAAAATACCACGATGTATTTCATTTTGAATTAAAAACATTTTTTTCAAAATCATTTTTTTATTGCAGATTGAAAATAAATAAAATGACTGATAACTGTTACCTTCGAACTCATAGTAATCAGGGTCGATTGACTTGAAGTCTTCCTTGGATTTCTTCCGAGAAAACTGATCCATGTCAAGGCTGTCGACAAAACCACAAAGGAGATTTAACGTTTGTATTGTTTAAGCTGAACAAATTTTTTATATTGGACTAATATCTCCACAAACTGTTGTTAACAATTTCAACTTCTCTAAGTTACAGTATCGAAAAATCTGTTGACTTCATTCTTGTTCATTTGTGAATCTGTAAAGATAATCTGAATTATTATTTCATTTGAAACCGTTTTCACTAGCATAATATGTTTTGTAATCAATGCAGAAAATTGTATTCACCGGTGGATGGAGCTTACTATTTTGTATTTACCGTTGGATGGAGCTTACTATTTTGTATTTACCGTTGGATGGAGCTTACTATTTTGTATTTACCGTTGGATGGAGCTTACTATTTTGTAGTTACCGTTGGATGGAGCTTACTATTTTGTAGTTATCGGTAGAGGAGGCTTCGTATTTTGTATTTACCGGTAGAGTGAGCTGAGTATTTTGTAGTTACCGGTCGAGGGAGCAGATTATGTTGTATATACCGAAATGGGAGCTTAGAATTTTGCATTTACCGGTAGAGGGAGCGTAGTATTTTGTATTTACCGGTGGATGGAGCGTAGTATTTTGTATTTACCGGTAGAGGGAGGGTAGTATTTTGTATTTACCAGTAGAGGGAGCGTAGTATTTTGTATTTACTGATCGAGGGAGCGTCATATTTTGTATTTACCGGTAGAGGGAGCGTAGTATTTTGTATTTACCGATAGAGTGAGCTGAGTATTTTGTAGTTACCGGTAGAGGGAGCAGATTGTGTTGTATTTAGAGAAACGGGAGCTTAGAATTTTGTATTAACCGGTAGAAAGAGCGTAGTATTTGGTATTGAGCGGTAGAGCGAGCGTAGTATTTTTTTACCGGTAAATGGAGCGTAGTTTATGTATTTACCGGTAGAGGGAGCAGATTATGTTGTATTTACCGGTGTAGAGGGAGCGTATTATTTTGTATTAACCGGTAGAGGGAGCGTAGTATTTTGTATTTACCGATAGTGGAAGCGTAGTATTTTGTATTTACCGGTAGAGGTAGCGTAGTATTTTGTATTTACCGGTAGAGGTAACGTAGGACTTTGTATTTTCCGGTGTAAAGGGAGCGTTGTATTTTGTATTTACCGCTAAAGGGAGCGTAACATTTTGTATTTACCGGTAGAGGAAGCGTAGTATTTTGTATTTACCGGTGTAGAGGGAGCGTAGTATTTTGTATTTACCGGTAGAGGGAGCGTAGTATTTTGTATTTACCGGTGTAGAGGGAGCGGAGTATTTTGTATTTACCGGTGTAGAGGGAGCGTAGTATTTTGTATTTACCGGTGTAGAGGGAGCGTAGTATTTTGTATTTACCGGTAGAGGGAGCGTAGTATTTTGTATTTACCGATAGAGGGAGCGTAGTATTTTGTATTTACCGGCAGAGGGAGCGTAGTTGTTTGTATTTACCGGCAGAGGGAGCGTAGTATTTTGTATTTACCGGTAGAGGGAGCGTAGTATTTTGTATTTACCGATAGAGGGAGCTGAGAATCTGCTTCATCTCCACACGGTTCTCATGCCACATTGTGGCACATATGTAAATCTTGCTGGTAGACGCCACCTTCTGACCATCTGTCATGTTAACAGGGCGCATGCGCCGTCTGCTGTGCAGCAACGAAAGGTCAAGGACAGGACTGCAGTAATACGGCAACACAAACAATCTGTGGACAACAGAGAGAAAGAGAGGAAAGAATGGTTAAATCAAGGAAAAATAAGGAGGAACACAAGGGAGCGATTAACTGACTTGTTCGAAGGGTAATACTTTTTGAAATTTAAAAAAACACAGAATAAAGAAAAGCTTACTTGGGTCTTGATTCCATGGAAAGAGTGTAAAAACCGAGAGGGTGTAATATCATCATATTGATAGATGGTACTATAAAAATAACCGACGAATTTGATAGGATAAAATTATCTTAAGAGGCATAACCTTTCACCGAGAGATTCAGATAAGCTTCGCACAGTAGGTTTGGTTTTTTTAATTTCTTTTCTTAATAGCTTTCAAGGTGTGTGTATCAGTATGGTGTACTTACTTTTTAAGGAAGCAGAGACGTTCCGTAGGTTCGTGCCATGTCTGTCGACACGCCCACACTTGTGCTAGCCAGGCCACGAAGAAAACTACAAGGGCTACGTACACAGAGTACGACGTCGGAGGACGTTTACCATCAAACAAGGTACGGCTCCAATCAAGTCCCGCCTCCAGCGATGCCAGTGTGGCGACCACGTACACGGGCGACGCAATCACAAGAGGAATGGTGAAGCACACCCGCTGCATGCACAGTTTGCACGCAGTGATCGCTAGATGGTAGACCAGAGCAGAGGAGAAAAAATGTACAAAGAACGACGGCAGTATCTCCCACGGGAGCCACACGGTGTAGGGATAAGGTGTGGGACACACGGTAGTGTTGGACGGGGTACAGTTTGAGGGGGGAGGAGACACTGCCCCGTTGTTACTGTGGTCGATATCCCTAAATAGGGAGAAGGTCGTGTCGATACCACGGATGCCGCGACAGAAATACTGGGACAAGATGATGTACGAGACGATAAGTCGGAGACCGGAAGACACCAGGTAGTTGAAGGCGTCGCCATCGTTATCAGAGGATGCAAGTCCCTTTTTATATGTATCCTCTGTGTCCTGTTTCGCTCTGGTGACATATGTCTCTATCCATCTTAACGACACTAGGACGCACGATGCGATGATCCAGATGATTAATTCTAAATCTTCTGTCGAATTGCTACCTCTCCCAGCATTAACCACGCACATGGCTACAACTGACCCCAGCAACACAACTGCAGCAATGATGGTGAATATCAGCCTGGGCGTCGTCCTTGACCTATGCATGTTCCGGATAAAAATAACTTGGACAATAGTAGGAATGCAGGGAATCGCTGCTAAGACGGCGGATGTCTCAACGGGGCCAAGAAATGGCATCACTCGAAACACTAGTCCGCACAAACCCACGACATGAAGTATTTCCTTTAACTGGATCTGCAGAAGTGACAAACAGGAGAAAGACGTCGTATTATTTGAATAATATTATAGAATGCAGAAATATTCGATAAAGACATTTCATTAGGCAAACTATCATCAGAAGTTAAATCGTAATGTTATGTTACAATTATAAATTGTGTATGGGCATAACTTACGAGAATGAACCGGAAGCACTTTGTACTTGGTAAGGTCCTGTCGCCGAAGAGGAAGCTGAGCATACAACGGGCAGCCTTGAATAGGTCCGGGATAGCAATGATTAGGATCAGCAGCCATGAAATAGCGTCCTCCGTCACAGTTCTCTGTCAATACCACAGATAAATAAAGTATTGGTGGCTGATACATATTTATAACATTACATTTAAAAAGTTTTTAACTGTGTTTACTTCATGGGTTATAGTGAAGATAAACTATTGCGCGATGTGTTTTTAATTTCTCAATTGGTACATAATAGTATCAGAACTTATTTGTCTTCATACTCTGTTATATGACATTCATGTCTGCTTCACTGTGATTGGCCGAAACTACACTCAGAAGTTTTTACAAAATACGATATTGAACTGCAAATCCCGAACACCACCGCAATAAGTTAACAATATAATCCGGTAACTTAAAACAGCAACAGAAAATGTCAGCGGCGAATTAAATTAAAACCCATCAGAAAGTAGAGGTTTCGATCATCGGGCAGTAAACAACGACATACAGCAGCACGCAGACGTCCGATTATCGGGAGAAAACAACGACATACAGCAGCACGAAGACGTCCGATTATCGGGAGTAAACAATGAAATACAGCAGCACGCAGACCTCCGATTATCGGGGTAAACAACGACATACAGCAGCACGCAGACGTCCGATTATCGGGAGTAAACAATGACATACAGCAGCACGCAGACCTCCGTTTATCGGGAATAAACAATGACATACAGCAGCACGCAGACGTCCGATTATCGGGAGAAAACAATGACATACAGCAGCACGCAGACCTCCGTTTATCGGGAATAAACAATGACATACAGCAGCACGCAGCCGTCCGATTATCGGGAGTAAACAATGACATACAGCAGCACGCAGACGTCCGATTATCGGGAGTAAACAATGACATACAGCAGCATGCATACGTCCGATTATCATGAGTAAACAACGACATACAGCAGCACGCAGACGTCCGATTATCGGGAGTAAACAACGACATACAGCAGCACGGAGACGTCCGATTATCGGGAATAAACAATGACATACAGCAGCACGCAGACCTCCGATTATCGGGGTAAACAACGACATACAGCAGCATGCATACGTCCGATTCTCAGGAGTAAACAACGACATACAGCAGCACGCAGACGTCCGATTATCGGGAGTAAACAATGACATACAGCAGCACGCAGACCGCCGATTATCGGGAGTAAACAACGACATACAGCAGCATGCATACGTCCGATTATCAGGAGTAAACAATGACATACAGCAGCACGCAGACAGCCGATTATCGGGAGTAAACAACGACATACAGCAGCACGCAGACGTCCGATTATCGGGAGCAAAAAATGACATACAGCAGCACGCAGACGGCCGATTATCGGGAGTAAACAACGACATACAGCAGCACGCAGACGTCCGATTATCGGGAGTAAACAATGACACACAGCAGCACGCAGACGTCGGATTATCGGGAGGAATACACCTCAGGGATCGGTAGTGTAGCGGATGATTCCCTCCAACATATCGTTATTGACAAAAATTCAAAATTTACCTATTTATTGTTTAAACATATTTTATTGCCAAAAAATGCAAGAGGATTGGGCACAAGTTACATGAACATTATTAACGCCCTTTCCTTATAAGATAAATAATTGTATATACACATCATAAGATGGATTTCATAGTTTAAATCACTACATTTATCTATTATTGGGAGAGAGAGAGAGAGAGAGAGAGAGAGAGAGAGAGAGAGAGAGAGAGAGAGAGAGAGAGAGAGAGAGAATGTTACTTATTCATTGCAGTTTATAAATTATAATGTACATCTCAATATTCAACATATAATGCACACATTCATTCTTACTTTTATTTACAAATTATGGTATATTTTGAAATTTGGTCATGAAAATGGAACCATCCAGCACAGTCAGCGCAGTGATATCCTGGCACTATTCCATACTTTCAACTATTCAACAGTTCGTCACGTCCCGTGCTTTGTGTCTTTCTCCTTTTCATTCCATCCTTTCTCGAAAATTCGTTTCTACCGCACTGGCTGTAACTGAATGGCCCATCACATGCCTATATTACATACATTCCAGCACACGCACACTTCTTGCATTCACGCTCTCGTGCACTTAAAAGAAAGTTAAACATTACAGAGGATTACTAAAATAATAAGGAACACACAAGTGTACGTTATGCCATGTAATACGGACACAAGCTAAGAAATGAATATGAAAGATAATGAGGACTGTTGGAGAGGAGACAGAAGAACGTGACCAAATTTAAAACCTGCGAGTACTCGATACATACTGTTGGACATATATAAATACATTTTTATTTTCGTCACTCGAATAATCTTCATGGCCATACAATAATTTCTCTAAGCTTAGAGGTAAGTATTCATGAAGATTTCTAAACATTTCAACTCTTTGATCAGTATATATACTGCATGTAAAAAAGAAATGATGAGCATTTTCATTAGGATATCCACATGCACAAATAGGAGAGTTGATTAGGTTAACATTAAAGAGATCATCATTTAAAGGGCTGCATTTATGACGGAGTTTGGTTAGTAAAATATTTAACTTACGGTCACCGGCTAAATAAAAAACAGGCACTTTAAATGTTTCATTTTGTTTTTTGAGGCAGTTTGTGAAGCTCTTAAAAGAATGTGCAGTTTTAATATTAGTGTCAAGCTCATTCCATAGTCTTAAAGTAGAAGGTATGAACGAGTTGAGTGAAGATTGTAAGCGGAAATTAGGAATGGAATAGTTCTCAGAGTTTCTCAAATTATAAGGAGTTAAAGTAGCTACTAGTGGCGGGAGAAGGTCAGTTAGGTAAGAGGGAGTCATATTGTTGTGAATTTTGTAGAAAAGTTGAAGTTTGCGGCGGGTGCGACGTTGAGACAAGACTTCCCAACCAGTTTCGAAGTAAAGAGACGCTCTACTAGCAAAAGATGGCAGGCCGGTGACAATACGCGCCGCTTCTAACTGGAGTTTTTCAAGTTTATTTGCATCGGCAGTTGTACAACCGTCCCAAACTTCGCAACAGTATTCAAGCAGAGGGAGTATAAAAGTAAGATAAATTCTGTTTAATGTCTTGCGATTTAAAGTATATTTTAACTTGCGGAGAATTCCTATTTGTTTCGTAACAGTTTTACAAATGTTATCAATATGGTGAGTCCATTTACAGTTAGCATCTAGGAAAATGCCTAGATGTTTATGATGTTCGATAAAATCAATATTAACATTATTAAAAATGAGATTGACATCAAGCTCAGCATTGGTATTTGAAATTAGTAGCGCTTCAGTTTTATTAGGATTAAATTTAACAAGCCAATTTTCTGCCCAGTTATGAATTTTTTCAAGATCTCGGTTAGTAGTAGTTTCTAGTTCAATTGCGGAAGGAGAAGAGACGGATAGGGAAGTATCATCAGCAAAAAGACGGGAAGGGCTGACAAGGTTATCAGTTATATCGTTGATATACAAGAGAAAAAGAAGCGGACCTAAGACAGAGCCCTGGGGTACACCAGCATTAGTTGTTTTAGTATGAGAAGTAACATTGTGGATGAAGACTTGTTGATGGCGATTCTGTACATAATCGGATAGCCAGTCTAAAAGATTTCCATTTATTCCATAGCTTTTTAATTTGTGTACAAGACCTGCATGCCAAACCCGATCAAAAGCTTTGGAAATGTCGCAAAAAACAAGACAGGTATGATGACGGTTTTCTAGATTTATGCATACATTATGATAAATTTCAATTAGTTGATGTACTGTTGAGTGACCTGGCTGAAATCCAGATTGGTATTTATATAACAATGAATTTTCTAATAAATAATTATGCAGAAATTTTGTAATAACTTTTTCAAAAACTTTCCCTACAGTGCTTAATAAAGCTATTGGTCTATAATTACTGGGGCATTGTTTATCGCCTTTCTTAAAAATGGGCATGACTAAAGCTTTTTTCCAGGAATTGGGATAAATTCCTTGATCAAGAGACTTTCTGAATATAAGAAATAGCGGAAATGAAACATAAAGAGCTGTGTTTTTAAGCATTTGGTGACTAATTTTATCATATCCAACAGCTTTACCTAATTTAAGAGACTTAAGGATGTCAACAATATCAGCTTGTGTAAAAAATATATTATCTATGCGACTTTGGGTTCTCATATCAACTTGTGGTAAAGGTACACCTGAGTCGTCTATAGTAGAGATAGACACAAAATAGTCATTTAAAATATTAGCTTTTCGTTCATCATCTACTGCAGTAGAATTAGTAATAGGGTCTTTTAGAGGAGGTATAATGTAAGATACATCTGCACTTTTAGTTAATCTCCGAACCAGTTTCCAAAAATTCTTTTGATTAGTTTTTGCATAGTTATCTAAAAGTCCATTAATATCAGCATAAAAAAGTTCTCTTGTTCTACGTTTGAGATTGTTGACATGATTTCTATGTTTTTTAAATTTAGCTAAATTCTCTATAGAAAAAACTCTTTTTAATTTTTTATGCAATCTATTTCTAATTCTAATTTCACGACGTAGTTCAGTAGTAAACCACGGTTTATCATTTGGTCTAACAGTAATAACCTTAGTTGGAATACAAAGATGAGCATATTCCAAATACTTATCTGTAAAAATCGAACACATATCGTCGCATGTGTAAGCATTTCTAAATACGTATTGCCAATCGGTGTTTTGTAACAGGTTATTAAATTTAGGATAGTCAGCATTTTTATAACACCAAATCATGCGTTTAAATTTGTTAGTAAGAAAAATGTTTAGTTTAATTTCAACGAGAGTAGCGTCATGGTCCGAAATGTCCCTGTCAATTTCAATAACATCGGAAAAACCAACAACGCATGTATCGCTCACGAGCACGGGGTCAAGGAGCGAAGCACGTGTTTGGCCTACCCGAGTTGGTTGGTTTATTACATTAGAAAACAGATACGTGCGGATAATGTCGTTCAGTTTATGACGAGTCTCAACCAGTAGGTCAACGTTTATGTCACCAACTATAATGACATGTGGGTTTTCATCAAGTGCATTTTCAATGGAGTTTTCAAATTGTTCCCAAAATGGATTTACACAGTCATTTGGTCTATATACTGTACATAGAAGATACGAGGAGTTATTAAAAATAATTTCGACCCAGATGGCCTCACCTGATGGAAATTCTAAATCCAAACGCCGCTGGGCAGAAATTAAAGGCGAAATATAAACAACGACACCCCCACCCTGTGAGTATTCACGGTCTTTCCGGAAAGGATTATTATTAAAACCTGGAAGTGCTATTTCTTCGTCAGATATACTGTTGTCTAAGTGGGATTCCGTGATACATACTACGTGAAATTCGTCTGCAATATTTTCAAGGTGAGTTAGCTTATTTCGTAAACTACGTATATTTAAATGGAAAATTGTTAATTCATCGGAAGATACATCAGGCCCAGGGTTTTCATGTATGTCCATGCAAATCAATAATAAAAGATGGAGGATAAGGATGAAATTAGTGTTACTGAAATAGCTATGTATAACATAAAAGAGAATACTGTATTGTGTGGTCTTAAATGTAAGAAGAAGGATTTCAAATAGATTTATAAATTCATCAAATACGAAATTTAAATTAATTTTAAATATTGAAGATGAGCTCGAGTGGTTACAGTGTGTACGCATGTAGAAATTGCCGACCGCCACCCTGTGTGCTACTATATCGTTACCCATTATCAAGAACGGTCATGGTTGGGTGGCTATCGGCAAAGAACATACGCACGTGCGTATACACCTGTCCAACAGTACAAACGGGCTCGAGGTGAAGGTCACACAGAAGTAAACAAGAGGGAAGTGGGAAGAGAAGGGGGAATAGTAAACAGGAAAGGTAAATAAAAGAAATCATAGGTGGAGAACCGAAGGATGTTTCTGCTGCTATAAAGAAGAGTAAGAGTTAAAATGATTGTTAGATAGATAGACCGACAGATTATGATTATTTTGTATATAATGACAATGTATAGAAAAATGGGAAAACTATTTACATTTTCAGCATGGTATAACTATATGAATAGCATAGTCATTAATTATATACAAGTCAGCTTGGGACAAACAGATTATACAAATGTGTACAATTGGTACACAAACAACACAGGGTAGGGTACTATAGGTAGACACTTTAAATAGCTTATATTGACAAGGTAGACATAATCAGACTACGTAGGGTTACACATAGACCATATCATAGGTAAAACGAAAGAAGGCATGGGTAATCACGAAGGCATATTTTGGGGAGACACGTGAATCATACGGATATCAATCAAGACAGACTACCTGTTTTAGTGATAACAGTGAAAACAATATAGTTGTCTTCTGTGATATCAACCATCATAGGATACTTGATTTGAGATATCAATCATCACAGGATATCTGTAATTGTGGTTCTTGTCAATCAACACATGATAATTATTTGAAGATTCAAAACAGCACATATTACTTTTTTGGATATCAAACAATAAATGATACTTATTTTGGATATCAAGCAATAAATAATACTTGTTTTGGATATCAAACAATGAATAATACTTGTTTTGGATATCAAACAATGAATAATACTTGTTTTGGATAGCAAACAATAGATAATACAATGAATATTACTTGTTTTGGATAGCAAACAATAAATGATACTTCATTTTTGGATATCAAACAATGAATAATATTTGCTTAGATATCAAACAATGAATAATACCTGTTTTAGATATCGAACAATGAGTAATACTTGTTTTGGATAGCAAACAATGAATAATACTTGTTTTGGATATCAAACAATGAGTAATACTTGTTTTGGATATCAAACAATAAATGATACTTGTTTGGTTATCAAGCAATAAATAATACTTGTTTTAGATATCGATCCAATAAATAATACTTATTTCAGAAATCAAAACAATAACTGGTACTTGTTTTGGGTATTAAACAATAAATTATATTACTTTTAGATATCAAACAATAAATTATATCAGTTTTAGATATCAACCAAACATACTATTAGTTCTGATATCAAACAAATGATCCTTGTTTTGATATATCCAATAATAAATTATATTCGTTTTTATTATCAAGCCAGAAATGATACTTATTTTGGGTATCAAACATTATATGATACTTATTTTGGTTATAAAACAATAAATGATCTTTGTTTTGGATATCAATCAATATATGAAACTTATGATACTTGCCTTATATATCAAACGAATGACACTTTTTTAAATTCTTTTTAAATATCAAACAATAAATAACATCATTCTGTATGCAATACAACCATATTGATGTCCAAATATAATGGCAAGTTACCATTTCGATACATGGATATGAATATCTCTTTAGGATTAACTATCTATATGAATCGTTATATATAAAAAGGATTCTGGATCATCACGTAAAGTGATAAAAGTACACACACCATGAACGTACGTGACATTTACAGTCAACAGTGAGGTTATTCGAGCGGAGAAAGTTGCAGAAGATATAGACAGTGCTGGTGAAGATGTTGCTGATGCTGGTTGCAGGACGCGATACACTAAATCAAAGTACTGAGAGTACTTCAATACTGATCATGCAGAGGAGTCATTGTGAAGAGTTGGAATGATGGAATGCAGATGGTGAATGTTTTTGATTAGGATTTTGTCCGAGTCTCTCGATCGTTTGAAGAAAATTCTCCCATCACTGGTCCAATAAGAATCAATGGACTTGGTCCATTTGGCTCGTCCAAGATCCTTTACTATTGCTTGCCTAGCTTTGGTCAGGTCTTCGGTAATGAAGAGTTTAGACGGGTTATTTTTTAAGCGTTTTTTATTTTTAAACACAGAGTTTTTAAGGTTCCAGCTGCTAAACCGGCATATAATTTGATGTTTCCCTTCGCTAGTGGGCTTCCCAATTACATGAGACCTATAGATATCTTCAGGGCGTAGGTCAACATTTAGCTGAGATTTACAGATGTCAATAATGACTGGGTCAGTGAAACGTTGTTGCTCTCTAGATAACTGGATGTTATGAAACCTGAGGGTGTTCCTCCTACCGTACTGCTCAAGCTCCTCGACTTGGGATACTAGGGATCCAACCTGATTCTCAAGAGTTGAGCACTTGGATGACAAGGAATCGTTTGATGACTTAAGTTCATTGATTGAAGTGGCCTGGTCATGTATCGTCTGCTGTAGCGGTATAATCATGTCTGCCATAGTATCGCGAACAATAGTCTGGAAAGTTTCACGGAGGTGGGGTATGCACGCCTCAGCCCATGCAGGTGCTATACTGGATACAAATGAAGGACTGGAAAGGGTGGAATGCATCAAGCTGGTAAGGTCTATAATCTTGCCTTTGCCTACATCAAGCTGGAGTGGCTGGCCCTCCTCCAGAGAGGAAGGTACCCCCGAGAATGAATTCCCCCTCCTATGGGTTGGGTGGTCAGTAAGTCCGGGGGACACTGAGTCCGGAGACTTCCTTTTAGCTGGGCCTGACGGGGTGCTCCTTGAAGCCGACATTATGTAGTTGGAGTAGAATGACTAAATACGAAGGATACTAGAACGTGTTTAGTGGTCTATGTGGTCTATGTATATGACCTGTACAAAATTTACCTAAACAGCCACTGAGTCATCCTTAAAAATGGGGGATTACGTAGCTGAGAATAGGACACCGAAATATTTAGAAATTTTGTTCAAAAACTGTAAACTATGAAAACATTTTGAATTTTATGTGTCAAATAACAAAAGATGATAACGAATTAAAGGTGACATTCTTATCGGCCTTGAGCCTCTGGGAATATCATTATTCTCGAGTCAACAAATCCCTATGTTCGCTTAAAATGTGAAATTGTAGACTCACTTTCTCAAATATTTTTCAGTTGTGATATGAAAACATGAATTGGATAAGGAAGAAAGATAAAAGTAACTAGCGACATCTTACCTCTTTTGTGATGTTGCTTTGTCTGATCTCATTATACAGTTGTGTAACAAGAATCTGCAGTGATCCTCGGGCAGCTATCACACCCCCGAACACAAACAAACACAGGAAAATGTACGTCATGATCTTGACAAACTTCATCAGATTCTGCCCAAAATGAGTGAAGATACCTGTATCCGGTCCAAAGTTCTGCTTCCGGAATATGTTCCACACTGGCTTGGAGGCCTCTCCTTGTAAATCACTTCACAGAAAAACAGTGAAAAAGATACATTTTCGTTGACATTATATTAACATTGGAAGACCTCCTCATTAAATCACTTAAAAAAATGAAAGAAGAAAAAACGTACATTGTCAAATCATGTTTGACATTATATTAACATTGTAAGACCTCCTCATTAAATCACTTAAAAAACGGGAAGAAGAAAAAAGATGCATTTTCACATCATCTTTGACACTTTAAAAGAGGAAAAGGATACCTACTCACATTATCTGTGACCTTTTATTAACAATGTCAGACTGTTTTCATTGTCACTTCACAGAAAAAAACGTGAATAAGATACATTGTCACATAATCTTTGACAATATATTGACATTGTGAAAAATATTATGTTATAACGGAATAGTATTTCAATTAAACGAAATAAAATAATAAGTGTGTAGCATGTCAGAGTAGGTGCTCTTTAATATAGGCATTCATCTATCTAGTTCAATTATTTTTCTAGATGGATACTGATGTTGATATTCCGTCTTTGCGTATTGCAGAGTTATCTTCTCGTGTGAGCCGGGATTGATTTTTACGTCATTTGTTTGTGAGAGTAACGTCATCAACGTTTGAGAAAACGACGTAATTTTCTCACACAAATCAATGACGTAACAATCAATATCTACTCACAAGAGAAGATAACTCTGCAATACGCAAAGGCGGATTATAACCTATAATATAATATATATATAACACTAGCGTAAAACAGGTACTAGAAAGACGAAGTGAGAAACCATCCAAACTAAATGATACTTTTTCTGCATCATACATTGTATGACCGTTTATCCAAATTATATGGCGCCATGGGGGAACTTTTTAATTTTGGCGTTAATTTTACATTGTTTTTAATTATAAGGATATATATATACATATGATTCACCAATTAATCTCGTTTCTGTTTACAATTTGAATATAGATTCACTGGCGATAGATAGACATGATAATTAATGACCACTAGTTAGAAAGCTGGACCAACCTACCTTAAATCGTTACCATTGGATGGGAGTTTGTTCTGACGGTCGCCGTCGTCCTCTGTATACCCATCGTTTACGTTACCCATGGCTATAGAGGTACTAGCCGCCATCTTACGATTATAAAATAAACATGTAAATATTACACCATCTGTTTCATAGGGCAATTAGAAATTAACTCTAAAATTTGAAATAATGCCAACAATGTATTATATAAAAGCGTTGTGGCTGCTTCGTGCCATTGTTATATTGTCCTTATTTATCGGGAAGATCTTTATAACTGTAAATAAGAACTAGGATGTATGATAAAATCAGCAACGTTCTATAGAACAAATGTGTGGTGTAGTATTTACGTATGAATAAAGGTTTATATTAAGCTTGAATAAGCTGATAGCCGTGCAAATTGATCTTATCATGTAAGTTATATCTATGATAGTGCTAACAAGAGAATCAATATACTTAGAATATTGAAATACAGAATTGACAGAAACATTCTCGAAACTATATACTCTACGTTTATACAATCAATTTTATAATGTGCTGATAACGTATGGGCGACCTGTACCCAAGGGAATTAAAACGACTTAGAGCCAAGCCAGCTGGGGGAACAAGTCTTAATATTGTATACAAAGAGACCAACTAAGTGACACTTGGCAAAAGAAGACATCTACATCAAAATATATTATTTTATATGTCCAGCTCATGTGAAGGAATCATTCCAGCTATACACCACTAATAACATTAAACTTATAATTTTCGTTAAAATGGACTATTCGATTTACCAATAACAAGAACCCAACGTTATAGTGCTATTTCCCATTCATTTGTATACCTGCAGCTGGGTTATGTTAATTTATCTGTGCCTAGCGCATGTCGGCCTCAGATTAAGATGGTTGTGGCTATCCGAAAGCACAAAATCATTGTACAGTATCTCAGTTGTGTTTTACCAGTAAGCCAAATTGGCTTTGTGACCTTGATTGGTAAATGAACTTTGTATGTCGTGTCCTTTCACATTATGACATAAGTACATACGACATTTTACATAAGTAACATTATGACATAAGTACATACGACATTTCACATAAGTAACACTATGACATAAGCACATACGACATTTCACATAAGTAACATTATGACATACGTACATACGACATTTCACATAAGTAACATTATGCCATAAGCACATACGACATTTAACATAAGTAACATTATGACATACGTACATACGTCATTTCACATAAGTAACATTATGACATAAGTACATACGACATTTTACATAAGTAACATTATGACATAAGTACATACGACATTTTACATAAGTAACATTATGACATAAGTACATACGACATTTCACCTAAGAAACATTATGACATAAGTACATACGACATTTTACATAAGTAACATTATGCCATAAGTACATACGAAATTTCACATAAGTAACATTATGACATACGTACATACGACATTTCACAAAAGTAACATTATGACATAAGCACATACGACATTTCACATAAGTATCATTATAACAAACGTACATACGACATTTCACATAAGTAACACTATGACATACGTAAATACGACATTTCACATAAGTATCATCGTACTCTTTACACTGTTCGCAACTTGTCAAGCTCATGAGGTACAGAAACCCCAAACCTAGAAAACCTAGGCAACGTTTGGCGTATTGAAATGACGCATTGTTTATGATTCATTCAGTAATCTGGGCCACAAGACTCATGAATTTACTGTTGAAAGTGCGTTGTCAAAACATTTTCAATTCAAAATTATTCTCTTTCACAATACAATGTATAGAGAAACATATTTACAATATGATTTATAGTAATTGTAGTGTTCGTAGTCGGTAGTACACAGTACTGTTTCATAATATATACACATTTGTATCGAAGAGGTCAAATATTGTTATTAATTATTCTAATAAAAGTACAAAGTTTCTTCAGTGTTTTTATATTAGTAGTATTCATCAATTCATAAAACTTAATTACATTTGGTGTCGTCCAAAAATATTTGTCTATATATAAAATTCGAAACCCAGAAAGCATTTTGTAGTGACTCTGTGGTTCCGAGTATTTCCACAGTCATCTTAATTAGGAGCCTCGTTACAGCTATTTAAGTGGAAAGTTATCTTTGCGTGATTGATACGTTTTGGTGAATTTTTGATTGGGTATCATTTCGTGGCATTCAGTTTGGCTGGTAAAAAGAGACCGTGATGTCATTGTGTCTTTGGACTGTTTTTGAAAGAAAGTTGATTAGGAATCATTTTCATACTTGACACTCAGGTTCGGTGTGTTTATTGTGCAGGTATCAACGCCTATGTTTGGTTGGAGTCGTCAACTGTGACTGGTCATGGAGTTGAAATTAGCGGTGACCATGACATTCATGGAGTTGAAATTAGCGGTGACCATGACATTCATGGAGTTGAAATTAGCGGTGACCATGACATTCATGGAGTTGAAATTAGCGGTGACCATGACATTCATGGAGTTGAAATTAGCGGTGACCATGACATTCATGGAGTTGAAATTAGCGGTGACCATGACATTCATGGAGTTGAAATTAGCGGTGACCATGACATTCATGGAGTTGAAATTAGCGGTGACCATGACATTCATGGAGTTGAAATTAGCGGTGACCATGACATTTATAAAGGGTCTTGTTAAGCATTAAACAGACGGTGCTTTAACATATCGCTATGAATTTGGTCGATTTTGTTTTAACTTTGTTTTAAGATAATGAAACTGTTCCGTGGTACTCCTTTTATGTTTCTTGGAAAGGAACTGATCACTGTGATAATATGGACACTTTGTTGTAATGACTTCCTTGCCCAATTCAACTATTTAAAGTTATTTTTACCCCACAAATATACGTTTGTAAAGATCCAGTGTTATATGGAATTTTACCGTTGATATATATTTTTGACCTTGCAACTCTGATCGAGTTCATATATACGGAGGGTTTAGACGCAATATAGACAACGTAATATACCCTGAGGTTATATAATTATATAGACACACTAAAGAAAAGTACATAGTTACCGAGGGTAAAACTTCACGTTTACCGAGGGTCTAAATACAATATTGACGTAGCCATGTGTAAAACTGATTCGGGCGTTTTGTGGGTTTAGATTAACATTTGGTTAAAATTCCACCGGCAACTTATGATATATGAATGGGTCGGTAGTTCTCGATGTCGGAAAGTCTAGTTTCCCCGCAACAAAGATGTACAAAAACTGTATCTCAGGTGTATCTCAGTCAAGGAACATGAGGAGAATATTACCATACGGGCTAGCTAGAGTTTCCAGTGCAACGTCGAGCGTGTTCAGTGCCTGAATGGGTAACCGGATGCCATTACAGGAAGTTTGTGAAAGAAAATATGACTTTTTCTGCTGCCAAGAAGCTAGATGAATCCAATTTTCTAGCATATACCATCATTGTAGTGGCATTTTACTGAGAGCTGAACTCAACCCCAAATAAAGCTAATGTAACAAATCCTAAGGCCCCAGTTACTGCAGAGTTTAAATATCAACAAGCTCCTATATACAGGGGTTTATGAAGTGTATTGACAAGTACGTGTATAATGTGCTATTTACAAAACATTAAGAAGTACAGATAATAATTATAATGATATACAGCATTTGATATAGCGCCCTATCTAGCTAACATACGCCACTCCAAAGCGCTTCGCAGAAGCTGCCTTATCAGGCGCTAACTACTAGTCCTATGCCACTTGGCTAATATCTCCCGATGTGTGTATGCCTGCGTGTGTGCTGGAGATGTATTGATATACCCAGGTTCTAATGAATTATTAGGGAGACACCGACGAGTAGTTACCCTTATCATTTTATATCATTATTTTATTTTGAGATTTAAATATATCTTGTTTCCGATAAAGTCGAGCAAAAGATTTGACGATTAAAAATTTAAAAACAAATTAAAGTTAAAACAATATTTTTATTTATTCCGGTTCATTTAACATTTTTGGTTAAATTCCAATTTCTTGTTTGGATGATGTTTATTTTAAAATGTATTTTATTTAGATGCGGTTTATTTAAATTAGTTGCGGTTTAGTTGAACAGTATCTTACTTCGAATCAGGTTTTTGTTTAAACAAAGTATTTTATTTAGTTGCAGTCACGTTTAACAGTATTTTTCAGACCCAGTTTTACATAGGTATGGCCTTCTTCTCACTCACATGGAACTCTCGAATGTCACCTTAGAAGATAGTACACTGGTAATGTGCATGCATCCATTGGACACCCCCTGTATGCGTACGCACGTAAGTTTATCTCAGGTGAATACACCCAGGGTTGTGTTAGATATCATTGTTGTCAGACTCAGGTACTCTACCGTTATCAGTACAAACTTAATCTTGTCCCTTTAAACACCGTTGATATAATATCTTCATCTGCCTGGTTTAGTGATATGCACAATATGTTAATCTTATATATGTCTAAATAGAGAAATAGTTTATAATTTAATTTAAAAATATTAAATCTTTGTATTGTTCTCTGTATAGACATACATAACGTTTCGAAACAATACCTGTTTAAATAATAAGTGTTCTGGTTAATTATATTGTGTAATCTTTTATCTTAACAAATGACACAATAACAAATGGTATGCTGACAAACGTGTTTAATCATTGTGACGTCATTATTACTGACTGGTGATACACTTGTACGTGTAACTTATTACTAGATCTGTCCCGTTTGTGTTTCTAAATGTATGTTCAATTATTAACAGAACTGTACAGTCGATGTAACGAAATAACACTATTGCCTATGCACACTTGAATATTACCAAATATTTCAAATCAAATTTACTAATGACATTGCCACCTATGCTCATTAGATTATTAACTAATCTACCCTGAATTAGTGTAACTGTCACAGTATTAACAAGATGAATTGGATCCGTTGTTGCTCCATATTATAACATGCCTATTTTGCCAAAGATTATTAATATCGAGTACGTCTAAACTGGTACGCTTTGTTAATGCAGATAGGGTTAATTAAAGATCAAAACATTTTCGGTTATATCTGTAATGAAATTTCGGTGATTGTAATAACAACATTGTATACATTATCAACAATATACATTATAGTTCATACACTTATGTGTAGATTGGTGACTAGGGTTAGACAGAAGGTGTTTTACTCATTAGTAATGGGTGTTAATTAATCACCTACCTTGTCCGTCAGTACAGGTACCAGGTATTAGTTAATAACACGGAGAATGTTGTAGATAGCCCGGTGATAACGATTGGCTAATACTTCCGGTTGTGTAAAACGATAGTAGACAATACATAAACGGTGCAGTAAATGGGCGTTCTATTTTTAGAATTACTCCTAATTTTTATAACTTAATCTATAGGAGTCCACAAAACGACCTTCGTTGAAATCATTATATAAGCAAGTCCTTAGTCGGCCATGCGTAGGATTTAGAAAGCTGACCTCAACAACATGGTGTGTTCTCCTTTCTCCCACTTTTTAAAAATAACATAGAGGCAGTAATGTTGTGATAGCAGTTATAGTCTGTTTCATATACATTTTACCTGGGTTTTTATCTGTGTTTTCCCACATTATCTGTATCATGTATACAGTACTGTCATATACATGTAGCTTTGATATAGTCTATTTTCATAATTTTTAGACATTATTTTCATATCATACCATTTTCATCAGCTAGATCATACAAAACAGTAACGTGAAATCCACAAATATTTTATATTCTTAATAGTATATAATTATATAGATGATAATGCTTTAACAAAAACACCATTATTTAAATTGATTTAATTTAGGGTGAAGCAAATTCATATTGGAGCATTATTTTCAGAGAATCTTTTTTACCAAAAAATGCGTCTTCGGTGTAATTAAAAGTAACTTAGTATCACTCATTAGATTATTTTCTCCTAAAACATAATCATTAGTTATGTTTCTAATTGATAACCCCATATGGCTTGGGTCCACTGATATTTCTAGTTGATAAAAATGAATCTTAACACCTGACGCCGACATTCTCTTCTGTGATGGAACGTTTTACATGTGCCCGACTCAGTTTCAGCAGATCTACACCGTCCACGCCAGGATTGGAGATGTACCCACTTGTATACAGTCTACTTCCCAGCAAGAGGCAGGCAACATACCAAAGATTCTTTACACTACTCAAGACCAACATTCAACCTCCAACTCAATCCCACGACCGTTTTCCTGGACTTTGAGGCTGCTGTCCAGAACGCCATCCGCGCAGGGTTTCCAGCTGTGAGTTTGAAGGGTTGCTTCTTTCAATATACACAGTGTATTTGGAGGAAAGTCCAGCAGACCGGACTTCAACAACTCTACGCCAACAACGTTGATCTACCTGCTAATTAGTTAATCATGTTAACCATGTCGGTAAAGTATGACGAATATACACGATCCAAATTACCTCACTACCCTGGTGTCTGTTTGGGTATTAGTTATTTTAGTTACATCTTGTTGACCAATACACGCCCGGTTTCCTCTCCC